GTGATTGTCCTGAAAGCATTTTCCTGCAGACCTGAAGCTTTTCTCACTGAAATATAATCCAAAGCTGCATAGTACGGCTGTAATGATTCCTGTAATTTCATTATTAAAATTCCTCAAGGCAAATTATCTGCCTCGAAGCTTCGTTAAATTATGTTTTCTTATTTAATGCACCGTGTTTCAGCTGAGTGATTATATGTGTTGTGCAACGCTCTCACTACCACCTATAAGTTGTTGACAAAAGCTAAGTGGTGTTAGCATAACGTTCAATTTTCAAGTTCAGTCCGAACTTCCACTGATTGATGGTAATGTCTGGGTTTTTAGCGGTTTACGGGGGATCAGTAAGCATCCTTAAATTAACTGGTGCGATACATGACACCCTTTCTCCTCCCTGAGCTGCTACCTGGTGGCTGGATTGGAGCTAATGGTGGTGAAGAGCGCGGGGGGTGTATGTAAACAGGTAGAGCGGAGACATTCAGATATAGACGGTGCACAGCCGGCTGCTTTATGGACGAAACGGGAAATAAATTTACCACCATCCCGGCGGTACAAAGCTGGCATATGTTTCTGTGTGTAATGGAGGAGCCAAATCCCGTCGCTAACATGAATACAAAAGCTATGAATGGTTGGGAAAAGTGAGAGTTCATCTTTTAAACTGGCTGAAGATAAATACATGAACTAAAAACTGCAGTATGGGTATCTTTGTGAGCCTGCTGCTTAAATTGAACACATACTTTTAGCATTCAGCATATATGCCCCTCAAAATCTGGAAGAAGCTTCCAGAAAACTGTAAAACAGCTGAAACACTGACATCCTTTAAATCTAGACTAAAAACCCAGATGTTTAGTTGATTTTGAACCATAATAAATTAAACATTAACCAACATTTTGATGTGTAATGATGGTATTTGGCAAAATGTAATGTATAAGGTTTTCTCAATCGTTGACTATGTGGTGTCTTCTGACTTTGTATTTTTATGGTTTTATGAAATAAAGCACTTTGAACCGTGTTGTTGCTGAAATGTGCTACGTACATAAACTTGATTGTTTGATTTTTGTGTAATTTTTGCCCAGGCTAATTTAAAAAGGGTGCTATTATTGTTACAGGTTAATTTTCTAAACTACACTAACGTAATTGTTAGAGATGCACAAGTATGAAAATTTGAGCCCATGTTGATAGTTGATATTGATACTGCTGTTGTAGTAGTATTTACCAATATTTTACTTGATCAATTTTTTTATTCAATTACTCAACTATCAGATTACTAAAATAACAACTGTGGTGTTTATGATCAGTAAAGACATTCATAATGTGAGCTAAATGCGTTGTGGCTTCATAATTTCTCACAGAAAAACCTTCAACTCAGAGATGTTGTAGGGTAACACCCTGCCGACCCAGGTCATGGTTAAACACGGTGAGATAAAGACAGATGAAACGTCTGAAATGAGAACAGAGCCAGAAGGGTAAAGAGTGAACCCTGAACGATGTTAGCTTGTTCCTGACTGAATCAACACTCAGCAATGTTTGATAAGCTCCCTTTAGCAGACAGAGGCTCCTCTGATGCACAGCGTTGCAGAAACATGTTCATACTTATGTTCCTTTTTTTGCTTGCAGATACAGAGATAATGATGCGCACAGAGACACGGATACAAGCAGCGCGTTCTCGGCACACCAGGCGAGATCAATTGCAGTGAAAGGTTTCCACACCAGCTGTATTGACCCGATATGGGAGAACGGGACAAGATGAAAAGCAACAGACGAAAAGCAGCAAAAAGATCATCTGACACCAACAACTGATTGGAAGCAGAAAATGTAGAGCGAAATCAAAGGCAAGATATGAGGGAACTTGGAGAGCACAGAGATCCAGAAGCTTGGCTTTGAACAACGAGGAGACGCGACAACTCCCGCTGCTCGGTATCAAGTGCCGAGAACCACACACATTTTCACAAAGACAAACACACACGGTGTGGTCGAAGCCCCCCCCGTCCCCAAACCAGCGTGTACCCTGCCTCAGATGTTTAATTCATGCAGTCGCCTGTTTGCAGAGCGTCGGGTGTGACAGAAGACAAGGAGAAATAAAGAGGAAATAAAGTATAAAGAGGGGAAACTACATCAAAATAGCCACAGCTGGAAAATGTGTCACACACATTTGTTTCGGTTATTACGGCCCAAAATCAGGATTCAGACCTGAACCTTCACACACACATAGAGAATATTACAAAGTCGGTCTTCTATCATATGAAGAACATTTCCAGGATTAAATGACTAAAAGTTTTTCCCACATTTGTAAAGGGAACACAGCTAGTGTCTCCACAGGTCTGCCTGTCAATCCTCCACTGCAGCTGATCCAGAACGCTGCTGCTGGTGTTCTAACTAAAACCAGGACGTTAGAGCACATCACCCAGTTCTACAGTCCTTACACTGGCTCCCTGTAGCTCAGAGAATAGACTATAAAATACTGTTGTTAGCTTATAAGTCACTGAACGGCTGTTGTTGTATCAACCTTCTGGTTAATGTCTACTTTGCATCCCCAGAACAAAACAGAGAATCAGCATTCAGCATCTATGCTCCACAAATCTGGAACAAACTTCAAGAAAACTCCGAAACAGCCGAAACAGAGTTGCTTTAAATCTAGATTAAAACCCACCTGTTTAGAGTTGCCTCTTGGAACACTGATCAACATATTTGATTATGGTATTTGACTAAATTCAGTGTTTATTTCTGCTTCATGGTTGTTTACAGTTTGATGGTTTTAAGGCACTTTGAGCCGCCGTGCTCGATACAAGTAAACTTGACATGGATTGTCAGATCTGGCCACATACAGAATGAGTGACAGTCAGAATCAAAGCTGCAATAAAAACTGAAGGAGAGAAAACAAACACAAATCAACAGCAACTCTGGGAATCTCTTCTGATCAGGACCAAAAAGCCCCGAGTGCTGACAGGGTTTGCTTCGAGTCTCAGCAGAGGCCGGCCAGGGACTGTCTGCAAGCGATTTTCTGTCATATCTCTTTTTCTCTTCATCCCTCACGTCTGCTCTCCAGCTAATCCTCCCTACACACACACACACGCACGCACACACACACACACACACACGCACACGCACACACACCACCTGACCTCGCCTCAGTGGAACTGCCGGAATAAAAACTATAAAAACTTCCAATTCTGGTTCTTTAACAGATCCTGTTTAATGTAGCATCCTGGCTGATTTGTTTGTCCTCTAAATCAAGAATCCTTTATTTTTCTTATCTGTTCACACATCATAAAAGTTGGTTAGGTAACGTTCAGCGTCATAAACCGGGAGCTCAGAGGCTCTCAGTTTATGATGCAGAGACCTTAAATTGACATGGCAAAAGTCAACTCGTGATCAGTAGAAAATCATTTTTTAGAAGGTCGTCTATCATATTTTACCTTTAGAAAACCTCAATGATTTTTCAAAGTGAGTAAGCAATTCTAAAAAACACGTTTCTGGGAAAAAAAAAAAGCCTTTTCGGTCACAACCAATGAAAATAAAGAGCCTGCTATGACCAGGTAATGCTCTACCTTTGCAAGGATGGATGTGTGTCAGCTAAGGTGAACATTACAAGCAAAAAGCTACCAGAATAATTTATGTAACTAACGTAGCTTCTTTCCATTACGATAAACAAGACAATACGTTTACCAAACATACCAATCAGGGAGCAAAACTGCAGAGAAAACTCCCAGAGTTTTAACTTTTATTGTCCCCTCTTAAAAATAAATGCCCATGAATGACTACATATTTACCCACAATTATCAGTTGAGGATGTAGCTTGTTTTTCCAGAGTGTTTAACATTTTAGGGCCGAATGACAACAACAAAAGGGCTTAAAACACAGCCTGATTATGTGGAAAAAATTTGACTTGCACAAAAACTGCATAACCTGCCAATATAAAATAAGTTAGCTTGGTGACAAAATGAGTTGGGAGAAAAATGAGTACTGATGAGTTTTTGTCACAAGCATTCTGTAATGAATTAGAGGCAGACTAAGCTTGCCAGTGCGCTCTTAAATACTTCCATAGGTTACTAGTTTGTTAAATCTCCAAGCTACAGAACTGATTTCCTTCTCATTTTATTAGCGAGAATTCAAGCTGTCATTGTGCTTTCCACTTATGTCAAAGTTTGGCTTTGGTGCTTTCTTTTTTATTATTATTTTACATATTTCTCAAATTCACAATTCAAAATATAAAGTTGTCAAAATCCAGATTTTTCTTTCCTAATCACAGATATGTTCATGTTCTATAAATCTGACTTTTTATATCATAAAATTGAGCCTTTAGAACTCTCACAAGTATTTCTATATGTTAATTAATATGTTTAATTAATTTTAATCAATCACAGAAACAGTTCATTCAAGGGCTTTTTTTTTTGCAACAAAAAGATAAACTAAGTTTAAAAGGGTTGAGAAAAATCAAATGTGAAGATATCGTGTACCAATTCCTGAACTGCAACATTTTGTAACTACGTCACTGAATCATTCGAGGCGCCATGATGGACGTCGGAAGTGAGGCTCAGGAATATTGAACTAAGCGACTGAAATTGTTTTCCAAAATTGTTTTTGCCAGTTTATTTATGGTTTCTACTAGTTCGAGTAGAGCTAATTTCTCCGTGAACGTAACACACCTGGTTGGGGCTCATAGTATTTACAAAAGTTGGAAACAGCTAGCTTAGAAACCGACCCGTACCTCCTCCCTCCTAATTAATGATTTTGCCTGAATTCACACCACATGATTAACACACTATGTCATGAACCGGAGCAGTATTAAAAACATACAGAAGACGAAGTGCTAACCAGTTTTTTTCATACAGGCTATATAACACTGTTTCCATGGTTACCAATGGTTAGACGCTAACTTCTATGCAATGCAATATTGGATATCAACTTTCTAATCACATTTACTTATAAAGTTTATGAACGTTAATCTTCTTACCTTATAAAAGTGTTCGGTGCAAATCCGTGAGCTGCCAGTCAAAATGATTAACGGCTGCCTGCTATCCATCGCCGCCATCTTTCTTCAGTAAAATTCAAAATATAAAACAACAAGTTTGGTTTGTATCCTTGTCTGTTTACACAGCCGACCCCGCAGCACCCGATAGCCATTGTAAAGTGAAATCAACTAAGCAAAAGCGATATTAGGCCACTAGATGTCTGTTTTTAGACGGGCTTTAACGTCCGTCATGGCGGAGCGGGCCGAGTTTCGAAGAGCGTGACGTCACGTGGAGAGTCAATATGGAGAGTCCAGAAGGACAAAATGTTCAGACATGTCCAAGGTAAGGCAGGAAGGCTGAAACTCTGGATAGATCCCATCAGTAACAGGGACTGATACTCAACCGCCAGCCAGGTGGTGTATTTTATTAGTATTATTAATAACCTAGTTAGACATTTTCTGGATGAAGATGAACTCCAAAAAATAAAAAATAAATAAATCATCTCCAAAATCCACAGCCAGCTTTAGAAGTCACGTCCTTTACATGCTGATATAGGAGACAGTCTGCATCTTTCATGAAGACAATGGCTTTTATATAGGTCAATGCATGGAAGTACCCCACTGTCTGGCTGGTCTAGTTCAGAAGAGCCTGAAGACAATTTTCAGACAATTACATTCAGCCCTCCCCCCACTCACTGCCCCGCTGAAGCCCCCCATCTCCAGACGGCCTGCTTTTCAGAGGGAGAGCTCCCAAAAATTATACTCAAGTGACATATTTGTAAAAGTAAAAAGTAGCCATCCGAGAAATTACTCAAGTCATTTCTGACATTACTCACAAAATTTTGACAGAAATTTGCTATGACTGTTTCTGCCTACAGCAGAGGAGGCCAAGCTTTTTGTCACATGGGCCAGAATTGAAGACTTAAATGTAGAATAGAAAAAAAAGGAGCAAATTTCTGCCAGAAACTCAGAAATTATATACAAAACTTGGAAATTTTTAAAGAAAAATTTCAACATCTTAAATTCAGAAATTTCCAACGTTTTTGTAGAAAATTTCAACTTTTTGCGCAAATCTAAAACTTTTGGAACTCAGAGTTTTCTTCTTTTTGTTTGAAAATTTCTGAGATTACTCTCAAAATTTCTGAGTTTTCTGACAAAAATGTTCTATTTTTTTTTTTACAATGGCCCCAACATTCGGTCGGCGTTACCAAAATATCTCTGCTGTTAGTGTGACACACCAGAGATGAACGAGTTAAAGTACAGATGCAGACATCTGTATTTTGTTCCATGCTAAGCACAAACACGCCTCACAGTGTGCAAAGTCACATGAGAATAAGCACAGTAAACAGAATACATTGAGATTAATGACTTTATTAAATATACTCATCAGTATTCTCATTGATATCCATCATTAGGCACCTTACATGTAGATCAGCGGGGAGCTGGGCCGCTCACATGCCTTTTTAGAACAACAGAACTGAAACATGCCGGCAACAAGGCCCAAACTGAAACCCTACTTCAGTTTTTCGCTTTAGGTTGTAGTTTTGTTGATGCATAGCTAGCATTGGGTTTCTACTGAGAATGTATCGTTTATGTAAATCCCACACAGTGTCTGTTTGTGCATGCCTTACATACACACGCACGTGTGTGTGTGTGTGTGTGTGTGTGAGAGACATATTGTGCAACATGAGGTTTGTTCTGCCGTTCTTTAACACGTATCAGTGTCTTGGTGCCAAATGTCTTGGAGGGTGTTAGGAGAAGTGTGCCGGTTCAGGCAGGTTCCTGGACACCTCGGCGCAGCGGCTACGTCTCGAGCTGGTTATACCTGAAAGTCGGAGCCAGGAACACAGTGGCAGAGTTCCCAGCATGCCTCTGGACGAGGAGCTACTCTGCAGCCTGCGAGGAGGGAGCGAACAATCTGCAGCACGGCAAGAAATAAAAAATTACCCCGGCTACAGATCAGGTTGATACACAGCTACTGTGCACGAGAATAATCTGAATTTCTGTGTTATTTTTTTAAAAACACACCTGGATAACTCAAAGTAGCGAAAACACATCAGGTCCTGATACTTTATTTCATCCACCTGTTTTCTTCAGGCCTCAGTAAAAATGGAGTCTTGTTCTTCCCACGTCGGGTTTCATCCCGACTCGCGTCGTTCATTTCCGCCATTTTGTGCCAACAAGCTGATTATTTTGCACCCATTTACTTAAATATTGGGACTAAGTTTTGACATGTTGTCACATAATGTAATTGTATTTTTTCAGATTTTATTTTACATCCTTGTTTGCTGCTCTTGGTTGGGGAAGGTAAAGCCGTCGCCATGGTTACTAAGGATGAACGACTCGATGACTCGACTCAACCAGCTGGGCTTCCTTAGATAACCTTGTGCCAGCTGGCATTATGTGGTCAACTGGATACGACTGAAGCAGGAATAAATTGGTTATTGATAATCTGATCGGATTAATTTGGATGAATGGGAGAGAATTTGTTTAGCTGATATGAACCGGATGGGTTTTTCATGCAAACTAACAAAAGATGATCATTTTCAGTGAATCTTTGAGCTGTAAACAAACTGAACCCTGGAAGAAGTGACGTGTCGGATGAGATTACCGCTTCAAGCTGCTGATAACTCAACAGATTGGATCAGCTCTCGCTTTACAGAAGCATTTCCCCTCATCAATCTCTGTTTTCCACTTTCATTTTGAACACTTTCCCAGCCTGGAGTCAGCCGGTGGGGGGAAACTCCAATTTGAGCTCCATCTTTTCCCCTTCCTGCTGAAACACACGAACGCAGCGTCTCCCCCCAACTGTGAAATAACCAGTTGTGCTTTAGCCGAGTGGCTCCGACTCTCCGTGGCCGGCCAACACGCTCAGACGCTTCCTGGAGGATTCTGCAATCCCTGACGGTCCAGGAGAACTGATCGATACTATCCAATCAGCAGGCATCTCTGTGCTGTCCGACACACGAATGGCTGAGCGACGAATGAAATCCCATTAAATGCACGGCGTCCCGGCGGCGCCCGCTTCCTGTAGACCAGGGTGTAAAAATGTTTTGTCACGTGCGCCAAAAATGTAGATTCAACCGTATTCACAGGACAAGAAATTATATAAAAAAAAAAAACTAAAATTAAGCAAATAAATCGCCAAAATATTTATTGTAGGTCCAAAACGTGAAAGGGATTTTAGCGACGCTGTGTTACAAAATCTTACCGAGTATTTTTGGTTTAGTTTCTAGTGAAATAAGAAAAAACTAGCAAGTACCTTTTCAGCAAGAAATATGAGCTGTCATGTCAATAATTCATTAATATTGATTTTTTTAAAAAGTGCTAGATCCACTGGCAGATTATTGTGCATTTAAAAATACATTTTCCTATAAGTTAACTAATTCTGTAGTTAACTTATATAAATATAACTCATATATTTAGTAATTATTCACTTAAAACAAGCTCATATTTCTTGCTGAAAAGTTGCTGGTAAGTTAGTTTTGTCTTATTTAAAGTGCACAAAGATATTTGCACTAGAAACTAGACCAAAAATACTCGGTAAGACTTTTGTGTTTTTGCAGTGTAGGGCCATTACAGATAGAAAAAGGTTGCAAATATCTGCCAGAAACTGAGATTTATCGCAGAAAATTTCTAGAAATTTTTCAGCATTTGAAATAATTTCTGACAATTTCAACGTTTTTTTTCTTCTTGCAAATCTTCGACTTTTGAAGCTCAGAAATTTCCTTATTTTTTCTAGAAAATTTCGAGATTACACTCAAACTTTTTGACAGAAATGACCCACTTTTCTTTTTCTTTTTGTACAATGGCCCCAATACGGCGTAGTAAATTCTGCTGTATAAAAGGAAAACATCTAGTTTCTAGTTTCTTTTGTGCTCAGTTGATTAAATTTATCTTCAGTAGCAACAACAGGATTTGCATCGCTTTCTTTCAAAGCGCTCGCTGTATTTGTCAAAATTTAAGAAAAAGTAAAAGCTGATTTGGCTGCAGCAAAGTTGGCTTTTCAGTAAAAGTCTCCTGGTTTTACCTTTTGTTAAATCTTGGTTATAAAAAGACGAATACTTTGTGTTGTACTTCACATTTTCCTGTACGAGTAAATCATATTGGCGATCATTTTTAACCTGATTACAAATGAAAACGTTTTAATCTGAACAGGAGCAGCTCATGCTACATCAGCGTGGATGAGAGCGTCTCTCCGAGACGCCGACACTGAGGCCGTTATACCGGCGGCTACATGTCGTATTTACACATTTCGAGGAGAAGGAGTTAACAGTTCGGCTTCATTACAGACACATGTGCTTCTATATGCAGTTTAAATGCCTATAATATCAACAGTGAGTGGCCATAGTTCACATTTACAGCAGAGGTTTAAGTTACTGATCACACTTGAACGACGATCCGCCTCGCAAAGGTTTTTTTCCCTTTGGCTTTTTGTCGAATCACAGCTGAGAGATTCAGAGTTTCAGGTTTTAAACCAACACAAAGAGGGAAATGACAGTTTGACTAAATCTGAGGTGTGGCGTACGCCGAACTGACCCGACCAAGAATACCTCTGGTTCCTAGCACACTTGAACTGAGACGAAATAGTTACGCTTGTTTTAAGTCAGTAATTCTCGACTACAAGACGTAATGCCTCCACTTAGAAACAGTAAAAATGTGCACAAATGATCTTACTGAAAAGTTACTTGTGAGTTTGTCTCATTTCTGGTGGACTCAGATATTTGCACCAAGAACTATAGACCAAAATAACTTGGTAAGATTTGGTGGTTTTGCAGTGCAATGAGTCTCTTTTAGTCTGCACTGAAAAAACACAAGAACTTTTCAACAAGAAATAGGAGTTTTATTTCAGTCAGTAATTCCTTATAACACTGATGAAATAAATGACTTTTTCTTTTGGTAGATTATTTAACTTACAACAAAAAATTTTTCTCATAAATTAAATAATCTGCCAGTGAAACTAGAACTTTTTTTTTAATCAACATTAAGAAATTATTGACTGAAATAAAGCTCCTAAACTAACTACATAAGTTAGTTTCGTATTAGGACAAATGTACTAAGATGTTTGCATTAGAAACTAAAAAAAAAATACTTGGTAAGATTTTGTGTTTAGATAGAAAAAGGAGCAAATTTCTGCCAAAAACTGAGAAATTTTCTAGAAAACATTAAAATCTGGGAGTTTACTTACTGGAAGTGAAATAATCAGCCAGGGCTTTTCCATCAATATTAATTATTGGAATTACTATTCATCCAATAATTAATCCAGGAATTACTGACTGAAAAGAAGCTCCTACATCTTTCTGAAGTTATTTTCAAGTTAGTTTTGTCTTAATTCAAGTTTGCTAAGATATTTGACCTAGGAACTAGACCAACTAGACCAAAATGTGCAACATCCGAGTCTGTAGGTGTACACCACACTTTTCAGATTCTTACGTTTCATTTTTGCAGAATATTTCGGCTCTGGTGGCTTTTGCTCGCCGTCGTCACTTTTCAGATTTTTATTTGTAAATAAAGACATTCCTCCCACTTTGTGCGTCTGAATCCAAACGTTTCAGCTTTTAAAAATGACAAAACAACAAAGTTCAAACACTTTTGCGAGGCGCCGTGTATTTGGTTTTAACGAGTAACAAATAACAGCAGGACGAGCTTCGGCTCGCAGCACGTCTACACTTTCTGAAGATAACTTTTCTAAAAATAGTTCCAGGCGCCGCGATGGAAAAGCAGACAAAGCAATACGAGGCAGAGGAAATGAAAAAGCGGCTCCTCTTTTGTCATCTCTAACGTCTTCTCTTCTCTTCCTCTCCTCATTAGAGTGAAGGATCTCGAGTCAAAACATTTCCTCGTTCCCAGAGCCGCTTCTCCTTCTTTTCTTCCCGATCCACAAATTAATTTAACTCCCAGAATCCTTTTGGGGACGACGAGGGAATTTCCTTTTTGCACTTTCATCTCCCTCGAATTGTTTTCCCTCCTGGATTCAGGGGAGTCCAAACTTTCAGCCACGTGGGCAGAAACTGCAGCATCAAAAGTGAAAAAAGTCAAGACTACATGAAGTAGTCTGGTGTGTGCTACAGATCTAAAACATGACAGAGGTTTCTACAGAGGTGCATAAGAAAAGAGGCAAATTTCCGCTGGAATTTCAGAAATTTTCTGATTAATCTCAGAATTTTTCTAGAAATTTAAAAAAAAAAAATTCTGGCTTTTTGAGATCAGAAATTTCCTTCAATTTCTCTAGAAAATGTCTAAAAGTACTCTGAAAATTTCTGAGTTTTTTGACAGAAATTTACTGCCAGTAGGACGCTGCTGCAGTAGATTTTGCATGTTTACAACTAGTCTTTTGAGCTCAATTGATTAAATTAATTTTCAGTAATCAGAACTGGATGTGGGCAGACGAACCAAACATTGTGCTCAAGTTATAGGAAAAAGTAAGAGTCCAAAAAGTTACTCAAGTCGGAGAAAAAAAGCGTTTAGTAAAAAATTTACTCAAGTACTGAGTAACTGATCAAATTATCAATCACTTAATATTTAAAAACTGCATCATCAGATGAACCGAAATGTACATTTAAGTGGAAATTTTGATATTTTAAGGATGAAAATGAAAATAATTTGTATAAGTAACAAAAAAATAACATCAAGCAAAATAAAATTTTCCCAAATCAGTTTCTTTCAATAAAAAAACTTATAAACTTTAACAAAAACTGCCGGTTTGTGTCTGTTTCTGGTGAATTTTTGGTTAAAACATGTTAGTTTTTCATTCAGTGGGCAGAAAAAACAGAAGTGTTACTCAAGTAAAAGTAAAATGTACAGCGTAGTAAAAATACTCCTAAAAGTAACTTTTTACAAAAAAGTTATTTGAGTAAATGTAAATAGTTAGTACCCAACTTTCAAAACGCAGAATTTATTTGACCAAATTAGTGCATCAAATTTGTCTCGTCAGTAAAAGTTTCTTGATTTTTTACCTCCATTTGAAACTTAGTTATGAGAAGTCTAATAGTTTGTTGTACTTTACATTTTCCTGTCAGAAAATTATGTTTCCAATCATTTTTATTCTGATCACAAACCAACAGTCTGAGGATCAAACTGTATAGTTTTTGGTTTGCAGTTTGGACACCCCTGACCTGGGCGACCCGGTCCGTTTTTTACCCCAGAACCTGTTTTTCCAGCCTCCTGGTTCAGAACACAGATGGAGTAAAAAGCATAGAGCGACATGGACACTTCACCACGCATCATCTAACACTTTGTGATGGGGTCATTTCACAGGATGACACACAGAGACCAGAGCACAAACACGCGGCGGCGGCGGCGGCGGAGTAAAACGCATCACTCTCCGAGGATGAGGAGGAAGAGGAGGGCTCAGCAGAGGAGGAAGAGCCGCAGACGGACACAGGGAGGAGACGCGCTGAAATTATTGTGCAGCTACAAAGTAAACGGTGCAAAAACTTCCTTCATAAATGTTCCTTCATGAATCAAGTGTGCAAATCTCTGCAGTCTGTGAGAATCTCAGTCAAGCTTGAAGGAAGTTGAAGCACTGGACTGAAAAAGGCCAAAAAAGAGACGGCAGGACGTCTGCAGGGGGAGAAAAGACAAAAAAAGGAAGGTCTTCTATTCCAGGATCGGTCTTTGTGGAGAGAACCGGACCTGTGAGGCGAGGAGCTTCGACTGGAGGAAGTTCTGGGTGGATGTGAGGAGGAGGAGAGGCGGCGAGCGTCGGGCCTGATCCGTCCGTCTACGGCGAAGACGGAGAGCACTCCAGAGACGCTGCGGAGAAACGGAGCAGAGGGAAAACGTTACCAAGCCGTGGAAATACGACACAGCTGGAGGAAACGGGAAGAAAACGCAGCAGAACCAGAGCAGGACGACTCCAACTTACTGTTACTATGGTAACGGTAGTGACAAAAGGTATTTGACTGAAGTACTGATCAATCATTTAACTGAATGATCAACTAATCATATTTAATATTAAATATTTTTAAACATTCAATGTTGAAAAATATTTTTTAAAATTGAAATATTAAAAAAAAATATTTAAAAAATAAATACATTTCAAAAATACTAAAATATTGAATATTTTCCATATTCAACTTGGAAAAAAATATTTCAATATTAAAAATATTTAAATGTGTTCATATTTTTTATATTTCATATTAAATATTTAAAAACAAATTTTAGTAAGTTTTCAAAAAATTACAAATTTTGAATTAATATTTAAGAATTACATCATTTGACGGATCAAAATATAAAGTTACATGGAAAAGTTGATATTTTAACATCCAAAATGGGAATAATTCAGATA